ACGAACAATTCAAAGAGGTAGCCAACACTGTTTGGGACCTATTTTGCGGCCGAAAAACAACAGCTCGTCCTCATACTAAGGCGGGGGACGGGGACGTGGACGAGCTGCATTCGCCACTGCATACACCACGAAAACGAAGCCGGCCTGTTATTAAAACCCCGGGCTTTACTTGGCCTTAAGTTTTTTCCTGTGTCTGTGTAACCTAATTGGATACCTAATTTGAAGTTTTGTCGCAAAAATAGCGCAAAATTACGTAACTTTCGGTGAAAACTGGTCTGTTGCTGTCATCCGGTACACGGCCAAATCGATAGATCGCGGTAGGGTAGTAAGGAAGACTCGTTAGTGCCCGAGAACTACAGTGAGAGCGACGACCGAAGGGCAACGGGACGTTCTACCGGGCAGGAGGAGAAACACAAAGAGTAGCCCTCACAACAGAGTTGGACTAATGTTCGTTTTTATGTTAATCCTATGCGTTTTATAATGTACTTATATTATTTTTATATGTTTGCGTTTATCGTCTTTCGTAAGAATGGTTGCTACTCTCCTCCTGATCTAGCGGACTTTGACAGAGGAAAGTCCTAGAGGACGAAACGGTAGCATCTTAGAGACGTAGGGGTGGACATCTCCTCGTTCCGCACTAGTGTCGTTCCTATACCCACACGGTCTTTAGATGTGCATGCTCACAGTCCTGAAGTACCCCCTTGAATATAAACCCGAATTTGCTCAGGTTTTTAGGTGTAGAGGGTACATAACAACATGCATCGGTGGTTACCTCCGGGAGTTGAAGATTGCATTCAAAACAACCGACAGGGTCGCAACTTTACAAGACGTGTCCAGCCAGGTCGTTCCTACTGTGTTCACCTGGCGAGACGACGTACCGCGCCCTTCGCTGTCCGTAAAGAGGACTTCATAGTTCGGTCCAGAACTAAAGGGTTCAAACAGAAGAAAGGTAGAGACTGGACAGTTCCAACAAACTTTTTCTTAATTATTCTTTCCCCCCCCCCCCCCCCCCCCCCGCCCCCCCCCATGTATTTATCGGTATCACTGAAGAGACCAGCTACCTACTGGGAATCTGGTCTTCCGAAGAGGTAGAGAGGAAGCTGGAGCACAATCGGCCATTGTTGTTGTTGTCGGTGTGAGCTGTGAGGGGTTTACGCACGGTTTGGCTTTATGAAGCAGGCACGCGAACGGTTACGTCATGAAGCAAACGGTGAAGCAATGACGCAGCACCAGTCGGACTCTGGGCAGTGTGAAAAGAGTCGGAGCTAAACCGAAGAACCGGTTCTGAACCTGAAAAGCTCTAGCACGGAGCTTGAACCGGAGTTGCGTTGGTGTTAATGAGGTATAAAAGTAAAAAGAAGAAAGAATGTTCAATCTGAATTTTCATTAAAATAAAAAGATCTTTATTGATTCTGACTTTTCTACATCCAACTCACAGGTTTATCATTACTTTGAGAAAAAAGATTATTAATTCAACCCTTTTAGAAGGGAAGATATGGTCATTTGTTCTGGGAATGTCATTTTCGAGCCTGAGACCTGAAAAACAGGCTCAGCGCTTCAGTAGGTAAATCAACTCAAACACGTCATGTTACAATTATTTTGCTGCTTGCTACAAAAGGAAAACTTGCGCGGCTCTCCTGTCAAGGGTACTTGAGTGAGTGACATGCATGCTCTGCATGCACAGCGAAACCACCAATCACAATCATTCTTGATCAGACACAGCAGGCCTCGCCCCGCCAGTTTGCAGACCATCAAAACACCGGTAAAAAATGAGCGAGGCACAGGAGGACATTACCTTCATCCGGTTAAATATAGTTTAAAAAACCGCAATATATATCGCAGCGGGGAAAAAATTACAATGTCAGTTTTTTTCAATATCGTGCAGCCCTATTGGATAGTCATAAAATCATGACGGTTTTAGCTCACTGTAGATTTATCTGGACCTTTATTTACATTATGTAGTTTCACTGCATAATCTGTAACTATTGATTCATCTATACGTTTTTTGCAAGCAGTTAAATGCCCATATTCTGATTTAGGTAAACCATGTTCTAATCCTTTTATTGACAAATAGTGCAAGTCTACTTATCATATCACAACCCTGTCGCCATAGTCCCCACTTGTCCAGTGGACAATTCAATTCCTCAAAGCATTGTACACCAAAATGTTGCCTTGTATTTTACACAACTACTTGTTGTGTTCCTTTTAACAGGCTGACGCCCCAAACACTGGACTGATTCCTGAAAGTGATGCTGTTGGTGTGACTGTAGTCCTGATCACATGCACATACCGTGGACAGGAGTTCATCCGCATTGGTTACTATGTGAACAATGAATACACAGAACCAGATCTTCGTGAAAATCCACCGATCAAGCCAAACTACACACAGGTCAGACAAATGGTTGACTCTGGATAAAGTTCTGTTTTTAATATGACTGTTTAATGCTTATTTGTTATATGAAATAATACTTTGGATAACGATCTTTCATCAACTTGAATGTGTAATGTAATTTCTGGTTGAAAAGCAGTTTTAAAATAATTCTGGGTGGGGGAAAAAGTGAACTCAAAAATATGTACAAACATTAGATGAAATACCGTATACAGTACATCATTCAATGTACTTTTTTTTCTATATTAACCTTTAAAATATAATAAGAAGGCAGCATGGTGCACACATACTCTGCAGAAGTGAGGCTTTTCTTTCTGTTCAGCCTGTACTTTGTAACATAATTTTTGATCCTTAAAAATTGACTAGTAATCCTATCAAATTCCCTCTGTTATATAACTAGTTAAGCAGAAATGTTACTACTGCAAGCAATGTTCTTCAGTGACAGGCCACTGAGTCTTTGAATGAAAACCATTTGGCACCTTTGTACCGATCTTATCAACAGAGTTCACCTTTTCTGTACTTGAGGCTGGATGCCAAACGAAGTGTGGTGATGTCTCATGAGTGTGCAGTGTGCTCATTAGCGAAAAGTACATGCAGCTAATGGATTAAGATTAAGGCTTCTGGGGAAAGGTTTTCCAATTGCTGTCAGATTGTTCCCATTTAAGTTGTAAATTGTGTAGGCAGACAATTTATATCTTTCCTACTCCCACTGGTGATTTGCACATTCTGTACTGTGCTGTGACCCAACTTAGATATGGTTTTACTGTCTAAAATCTCTTGTCAGTTTCTCATAGAAAACATATTAATATTCACAAGTAATTTAAATATTTACAAAATGTATATCTATTTTTCTTTTTCAGCTTCAGAGAAACATTCTGGCATCGAACCCACGTGTGACGAGATTCCATATAAACTGGGAAGGCTGTGCAGAGCGGATGGAGGACTGTGAAAATGTGGATCCCTCATCAAACTCCATGCTCCCACCATCATGTCTCCCGGGCAAGGCCCCCCCTTTAGGGATACTACCAGATAACTCCATGGACTGCTTATAGAGCCCCAAAGTTAATACCAAAGTTAATACCAAGATCTTCTGAAGAATGCCTATGGACATTCAAGTGTGGATGTAAAGACATCTTTGCCTTGCAGCTTTCCTTATTTACCTGAAGCTTGTCAAAACGTAACTCTCATCTTGGGATTCAGATGATTGTTTGTTTTAAGGAGGATCAAGAACATCTTACTGGTATGAGCATCACTTATATATGTGAAATGTTCTTACCATAACATTTAAAACATTATTTAACTCATGGGAGGGAAAAGGGTGACTGACATTAGCTGAACTGAAAGCCGATGTGTGATTCACCTTCCTTCCTCTTGTAGATGCAGAACTGATTTGTACCAGTTTGGGAGGATTTCAGAGCTCAAGCTATAAAACGCAGTGTTATTGCTGTATAGGAATGTGATAATCTGCCATTATATTTGGGTTCAAATTTATTTTGCACTTAAACCTTTTTCTTTGGGAGTTTTGAATGGGATACATTACTTTTCCATGTTTTTTTGTTTTGTTTCCAACTTTATGTTCTAAATAAAAATTGATGTTGTTATCTATCTGTGTACGAATGTCTGTAATAGTAAGATGTTATTCTTATTTCTCTTATTTTTTTGTCTTTACTTATTTCGTTTTGATTAAACAACCAGGGGAAGAATATTGCTCCTTTTTAAATGTGCCTGTGCTGAAAACAAATGTTTTCTCTTTTGTTCTTGTTAAGAATGTCACAAAGAAGCAATTACAGTTTTAACATGATTGTTTTAACCACAACAGAGTGGCAACTCTCTAAAACGAATATCACTGTGTGCATCCTCTTATATTTTCCCATTTGACTAAAAATAGCCTGTGTTAACGTCACACCCAATCACAGATCGCTCGGGTAAAAGGGGTGGCTAAGCTACAGAACAGACTTTGTTAAATACTGCTGTGCAAGTAGGCTTATTATTGCAAGATGCTAAAGCGGATGATTTGTGCCCTGCAAGAAACTCGGTCTTATAAATACAAACAGCTGATCATTTAAAGCAAAACGGGAAAAAAAACAGTCATAGTTATGGGCGTATTGGCTGCAAGCAAGTCCGGGAGGCGGGACAAAATAATTTGATGGACGAATCGCATCAATGCAATGATTGGATGTATTGACGCTCCTCCAATCAGCATCTGAATTGCGACGTCTCTCATGTAAGTGTATGTGCAATGAGCCAATCAGAGCCAGTGGTAGGCGGGACCCAGTGGATGGATGACTGGAGTTTCCCTTGCGGTCTGAAGATTAATGGAAGGGGTCTGTTGATCTTAGGAATCGACTATCAGATGGTCGGTCCATGGAAACCATTGCACTTGATGCCTGGTTTAGAAACGAATGGAGATAAATACAATTGAAATATCCAACAGCAGAAAAAACGACTAACCTGGACACCACTTTTGTTATTCACGTCTCAACTGAAAAGGCCTGCCTTCACAGAGATAGCACCTGGTTAGTTCAGGCCAGGATACGACTGCGAGTGACGCTAAAAGCTAACGCTAGCTTGCTCGTACGATAGACGGAAAACGACTTTTGACGATCTGTCTAACGGCACGGACTCGATTCTGGATAAACCAAGCTATCACTGGAAATAAAGGACAGTCGAGTGACATCTTGATTTGCCACTGCTCGCTTGGAAATTGACGAGCCAACACTCCGAGGCTAACATCCACTGGTTGCTAGAGTTAGCTTGTGTGCTAGCCTAGCCAGCCTACAGCGTTAGCTTCAGACTTTGATATACTCGCTCGGGTTGAGTTTCCGAACTCCCTAAGGAGGGGTATTGGAAGACATTGATTTACACACAGTCCAATAATGATTGCTGTTAGCTAGTAGCTAGCTGTCAGCGTCATTGAGCCCAGCGACAGCGTTAGCGGTGTAGCAACACTCAACCACTTGCAGAGGAGCACTCAGCCCGAACCCAGGGAGCCCACCATCAGCCTTCATCATGGGCAACACGCCCACCGCAAAGAAGGGCAATGAGATGGAGAGCGGTGAGTACCCTTTACCCGTAGATGCAGAAGCTAGCTAGATCATGCTGCCTGGATCGTTTGCCTGTATTGTTATTTCCTGTTTCCCATAATGGGACTGAAATACAACTTATCACCTGTACAATACATCAAGGCCCAAAGACCCTCCACACTGACACCACATTATATTCGACCCCCCTGATCTAATAATGACAATATGCTAAACTTTCCTGGGTTGTCAACTTCAGATGGAACATCATAAAAGATACCCGAGGCCATAGACTTCCATATATACACTTCAAACAAGCTGTGACACCATGATCATTTCAACTGAACAGCAGAGGATGTTATCCATTCTCTCCACTGATTTTGTGGGAAAGCTCGTGATTCAAAGCCCCAGGTTATATTCAGAGGAACCGATGGGGATGACAACAACTGGCCTTATACAACAGTCATAGGTTTCTGTGTGGTTCACGTGTTTCAGATGTTTTTATTTCCTCCTATCAAAAGGTTATGAAAGCCTGCAGTAACATTGTTTGGAGTCCTCTTGTGCGGTTTTGATAATCCATTCAGGGCAGAATAATACTTAGTGCATACATACATTAAATGTTAAGAAATGCAGATATTAAAGAAAGTTAGAATGCAAATATTTGACATGTGTGTGTAAATGATGGGATCTTGTTAATATAAAGTGGACCCGAGCATTGATTCCCGCAGGTTACTTTAACAATGAGGGGATGGTTGTTTTCAGAGAAGGAAAAAGCCACCAAGATGGGGTCATATGATGCATGAGGGTGATCCTCTCCAGGCAGAAACTTAGGAGTTCAGGAGTCTCTTGAATATCATGTGATGAGCAGCATTTAGAACAAGGACTTGTATGTTTCACTGTTTGTGTTTGTGCGTGCATGTTTGGAGAGGACAAGATTCTACGCCAATTATTGTGTGGACCATTGCCCCTTTTAGAACTTTTTATTTTGTTGATGACCTTCATTAGATCTATTTATATAAGATATAACATAAATAGATACTCTTATCTACTACAATATGATCCTCAGGTTCCTTACTGATTGAGGGAAATTGTAATCCTAATTCTTTAACCCACTTATTAACTAATAAAAGTGCTTTAAATAGTGTTTCCAATTAAGGTTCACAGACCTTGGATAAGATTTGGGAGGACACCGTTTTATGTTTGATCCATGACACCATAAATAACGCTCAAGTGTGCAAAGTCTGAACAGGTATCTGCAAAATGAGTGTCAGCCCCTTGTTGCTAGTAGAGAGTACGTGTGAAGAATGGCCTCCAGTCCCTCTGTAATGTTAACCCACCAATAGAAAACTCCCTAACAAGGACTTTCCAGAGCACAGAGATTTGTTTTTTTTAATAGAAATGTGAATTAGGGGATTACTTGGTTAGGGAAATGTGTTTACATGTCATGCTTCACATCCTTATCAACCCGATCGCCGAGGATCCACCCTGATCCCCAGAGACAGGTGGAGACCAGGGGCACAGAGCCCACACACAGGAGTGTAATTTTCCACAGAGCAGCATGAAATTAAGGAGAACATGGCAGCTTGTTTTGGTTTCTATTGAAAGAGAGAGTGTTGATAGCTTGCGCTGGTGTGCAGGGTCTCTTTCCCCTGAAGTTCCCAGGCTGCAGAGTACGAGCACAGAGCCGCTGCACAAGTAAAGCTGATATCTGGCCCGTAGGAGGAAGCAGGGCGGACAGACACTCAGTGAACTGCAACAGGAAGTGAAGGAGCAAGGAAGGTCCAGCCCAGGCTTTTCACAGTTGGTCATCGCCTCTCTATAAACTAAACACAGCTAACCAGGATAGCTTGATGTTTTGACCGTTAAGAGGCTGTTGGTGATACGTATTCTGGATTTCCAGCTTGTAAGAACCTCCGGACATACTACAGTTTTGAGATTATTTTCTGGCTATCAGCTGGTTTCCTCCTGCCTTGTAGGATGTCTGTTATTCACAGGCTGGCAGGAAGGCTTTTTCACCGAGCCGGGCCCGGCCTAGGAGACACGGGCAGTGGAGAAGGCAGACATTACCAACCACAGGAGGAGCTAGAGGCTTGCTGTTGGCGTGAGTTTTCATTGTGGACACGGACAGGAGTATGGGTTAGCAATGGAGCTGTAGTCCAAGCTTTGTCCTGCTTGCTTATAGCCAGTCACAGGCTGAGCTTTCTCGTATGGTTTACAAAAAAATATCGAACTGTGTTTTTCTTATGAATGTAACGAAATGCATATCTTGACCTGGTGAGTTGAGTGTCTGTTGGCATTGGTGGAGAGATCTTTAATACAAATAGACACACGGAGCAGCCTGTTGTTTGTCTCTATGGCCTACAGTTTTTTCAGTTGCAGTTCAAAGGAAAGCATTTCTCAGTTATTGTGAATTTGGGGGTTACGTTACACAGCATAACATTGTTAGCCTAAATCTGTTAGACATTGTAATAACGAACCTTATCTAACCCGTGTGTACTTAATGTTTTGTCTAAGCTCTGGTTTTATTGTCCTTCTCACTTGTAGGGCTATTGGTGTTTGAAAGCCTGGAAATCTGTTACTGAACTTCACTTTTTAATCATTTAAGCACTATACTGTTATGACCCATCCCATTCTGGCGCCATGTTATGACATGAAGGATTGTTGTATTGAATCTTTTGTGTTTTGAAATGAACCTCATATAATGAGGTGGCACCCTGTCAAAGTGCAACTCCCACTATCTATAAATATCTCTGCTCCATGTCCTGCCCCTGCTCTGCACGCAGCTGGTTTTCGTAACAGGGGCCGTTTTGTGTTTGGATCGCTCATCACTTCCTCCAGTTAAAGTGACTTTGTTAAAAGCCCGTACTGATTACCAGGGGACCTTACTTTTGCAATGCCAATCGGCCACATCCGATAAGCTTACCGCACTGAGTTGGCAAGTTTACATGCTTCCAGGGAACAATCCCGAGAGGCAAAATTGAGTTCAGGAAAAGTAGTTTCCTTTTTGGATTTTCAGAGCAACAACAGCAGCATTAGTAATCCTTGTGTCTGGTAATATGTTAAAGCTGCCGTCACATTTAGAGGCACTGATAGTCACTTGTTCTGTGCAACAAATAAAGCTATAGCATACTAATGGCATGCAAAATAAAGGAGGTCTCCCACAAGATTACCCTCATGCTGAAACAATTTATTTATTGAGGTGCCTTTGTGACGTGCAACAACATTAACATTAACCTTTCTGTTGGTCGCTTGTTAGCAGACCCTTCACGCGATGGCAGAGCAAACAGGTACAGGCAGGGCCCATAGTGAAAGCCCTATAATTTAAATCTACTAGCCACAAATAAACATATGGACATGGGTTACTATTTAAAAAAATAAATGGTAAATGTATTTAGGAACCTATCCATGTAATTTTAAGTGGGGGTGGACCTCAAATCCTCTAGGAGGGTCTGGGGGCATGCTCCTCCGGTAAGATTGATGCATTTTTTTAAATGCATCGATCTGGTGCACTTTGAGGGGGAAATAAAGAGACTAGATCTATTGGAACAGTGAACACCCATATGAAACAGAACTGTATACATTTCAATAATCATAAACTCATTGCCATAACCAATAACATACCATTTCATGAAAAAACACTGAAACTTGTTTATTTATTTATTTTGGTTCATTTGTAGTTGTGAGTGTGTCTGTGCTCCTGAATCAGCCCCTCCTGTCTCCCCCCTCTCCTCCCTGCTCCTCTTTGAGGCAGCAGCAAAGACTAGTTTTAGCTCTCAACAAGTTTTAAAAGTGTATCTTACCTTTTTTCACCTAGTTAACCGATTTTTTTTTTTTATTCATGCATATTTGACTAATCACTACCCCCTCAAATAGAAATATGTGTTTACATAAATGGTGACCAAACCGTTTGAGACCCACTGAAAACTTAGACCAAGTTAACTAAACACTCAGAGTCCTTAGCCTCACCTGAGCTGAGGTTATCCCGAGCTTGAATGACACACAGAGGGCTTTGATTTATGATCTGTATGACAGTGGCCATGTCGGCAGGCCACATCATGTAGACAGCCAGTCACCCTGTGTGAGGCAGAGCCACATTTGTGCTGCGTTGCGTTCACAATACATAACAAAATACATTTAAAAATCCTCAGGCCACTTAACAGGCAAGGCCATCGGGAAACGTCTCGGACGGATAAAAAAAAAAAAAGGGTCGCAAAATATACTTGGGCGGCCGTTAATATACCTGGGCGGCCCGCCCAAGTAAAGTCTGTGTGGGAAACCTTGTAATCGCTTTGTGAGCTTATCGTAGATATATTTATGAGACAGATGGATGCATGCATCTAAGTTGTTCTTCACATGCATGTGACTACAGGAGAATGGAACATAAAAGTGTGATGTGATCAGTGTTTCCGCCAGGGGGCGTCTTGCCGTCATTTAGCGCCCTTATTCAGCTCGGAATGCCCTGAACTCGAGCCGAGGGCGTCCAAAGAAAAACATCCTCTGTTGGAGGGGCAAAGGAGCCTGGTGGGATTCTTTTCTGAGTATTGAAGCTCGTTTCCCCGACATCGGCCTCTTTTCAGTTTTTCGTATCTTGGACCCACGGTGCCTTCCACAGGACAACACGGAAAGTGCAAGATTTTGATGCGATTCGCAGCGGCAAAACTGACGCTCCGTGGTAAACTGTGGTAAAAAGAGTGAGCTCTTCTTCTTATGGCGCATTTCCACTAGGGGTGCACCGAATGGGAAATTCTTGGCCGAAACCGATACCGAAAATAGGAAACAGTCGGCCGAAAACCGAATGCCGAAAGGCCGAAAATGATTAATAGAAATATATATATATATAATGTATACATTTTTTACCAATGTTGTTCAGCTGCCTGATTATGGAAAAATAAATGATTATGGCAAAACTTAACTTAAATAATAATCACTATTATGGGTCCATAAAACATTTATTCAGCACTTTTGAATGCATACAGTACATTAATTCCAAGTCAAGTGCATTTTCTTTTCTCTGTAGGATAACTACAACAAAGTA